TATATATATATATATATATATATATATATATATATATATATATATATATATATATATATATATATTAGCTAAAAATATTTCCAAGAAGCAGGATGATGTGAAACGATTAATAACGTATTCTTAAATTAGGAGATAACATTAGTCATCATGTTTGCTGAACTCACACTTCAAAGTAAAATAATTTTTGATCCAGACTTTAGGTCAATTTTAAATTACTTGTGATTACTTTTAGATGCAATATAAAGTTAAAGCACTAATGTTCTTGGACATTAATAACACTGATATTTAACTATAAACATTCTTATTGTTTTTGTATATGCTTCGTGGCAGTGAAAGTGTTAAAGAACAAAATAATATTAATGAGTTACAGAGCGTGTACGTTATTTTTTATAGAATACAAAATCTTTTTTAAAATTATGAACACAGAGTCTTAATATATATTATATGCACTAAAATGCGTTTATCTAAAACTGCACCCAGTCCCCTTCATTATTGAGTATATCTTGACATCGTCAAGGTATGTTCTAAGCGAAATTTGCTGGAATGGAAACGTGAAAACGGCATCATTACAATGGATTAACCCTCACAGTTTCCCGACGCTAATCCTATTGAAGATATATGGGCAACCATGAAGATGAAGCTTCAGGAAGAACGAATTTTCGTTTATAATAATTGTCATATCAACTTTGCACAATATGGAAGACGTTATCCGGAAAATCTTGTTGAGAGTATGTCTTGATGCTGCCAAGGCATACTTAACAATGGAGAGGACTGGACGCACTAAATAAAAACGCATTTTAGTGCATTTAATTATACATTAAAACTGTGTTCATAATTTTGAAAAAATACTTTATATTATAGGAGAAACAGCGTAGATACATACTCTCTTGTGCTCCTGATTGTAGCACCAGTTTATTAGCCCACACAGGAAAGAACAATTCTATTGGTGCAACCGAATTTTCGGTTGCTCAGGGGCAGACAAAAATTTGGCTGTAGGAACAGAAAAATTATTTTATGAGGCTTTGTATAGTCAATGGTTCTCAATTGCCTCAACCGAGTTTTAATATCGTTGAATATTCAGATGAATATTTTCGGTTGCGACAGAAATATTGGTTTTCATAACAGAGGTATCGCTTCTGATCACTTAATTTTCAGTTGGTTCCTATTTGGTTGCACCAACTGAAATCTTTTTTCTTGTAGAGTATTGATACTTTTACTCTAATCCCTAATTTTATCAAAACTTTTTATTATTTTTGGGATATGTAAATAAACTTTTGAATATAAGTAATTATTTGGGGGAGAGGGAGGGGGATAGCGACGTTTGGCAGGAACGCGCGGCAGAAGCGAAACGCATACAACCGAATCCGTCGATACGGATTGCACTGCTCGTACTGTTCACACGAGAGCTGCCTCTCGCACATCGCAGCGCGATCCGTCGGTCACTCTCCCAAGATTACGATATTATCTGGCAAATTGGACGTTCCACGTGAATTTTCGAGCGTCACACTGCCGCGCCGTTAGGCGCGGCTGAAGTTCCAACGCTCCGACACAGTTCGACGAACTCGAAACAATGGGATTACAGCCCCGCGCTAATTTATGTACACGCGCGCTACCTCTACAGCGTGTACACACGATACTGTTCCGCCGAACGATGCAACTTCCAATAATTTCGTGAAATGGCAACAGATTTGGCACGATGCGCATCCCTCACGCATCGAACCCACATACTTTAACGCGGGCTCGCATTATATTCGCATAAAGCACAACGCTATACAGCGCTCATCTATCGCATCGGCGACGAGGGGGAGGGGAGGGGGAAGGGGGGTTCTATGCTTACAGCGACACGTGGCTCGCGCCACGATCAATCGATAATTGACACACGGAAGTAATATCACCGAAATTCCCGTAACGAAATCGCATTGCGCGCCCATGCAAGATAAAGAGACAGACAGACAAACAGGGGAAAGGAGAGAGAGAGAGAGAGAGAGAGAGAGAGAGAGAGAGAGAGAGGTGGGGCAGAAAGAGAGAAAGAGAATCGTTTGTTTCAAACTTTGCGCTCCGTTAAAACGGCACGGCTTATCGAGAATGCATTACAATAAATTCTCGTGTAAGCATAGCGAACCATGCGCGTTCGATATAGTGGCGAAACACTTCTCGTAAAATTCGAGTGATTCCACGGGAATAAAGTGCGCCGAACAGCGCCTCGTTGTAGCTTGTCCCCTCCCGCCCCTTCGCACCCGACACAACAAAGGGCTGCGAGTTTATACGTTCCCGGATATCTTTTCTGTGTTTTATCGGCGAATCTCCAAATCCGGAAACACTCTCTCTCGACTATACCCCTGCGAGATTCGAGCCGATGAAATCGCTCGTGCGCGCCATGACGAATTATGGCGAACTTACGGCGAAGAATGGAGGAGCGGGAGTGGCGCGCGTCGCGAAACGCAATGTTGACATACTCATTAACGTGTAATCGCGCTCGTCGATGTCGCGTTCCTATTATTATACAATCGTTCGGCTCGCAGTCGACATCCGGATCGAACGCACGCTAATCGCACGTGCGTAATCTTCGCGCACACGCGTACTTCGGATGTTCAGGATTGTCACGAGCGCGCCAGCACAAACGATGTTCGGGCGCGGCAATATACTAATGGTATGTACATAGAAATATAGAGAAACGAATATATACGCTGAGTATATTTACAATGAATTAACGGGTGCTTTAATGCAAAGCACCCCCTCTCGTCCCGCCCGGCCCCTTGCCCCGTCGCCCTCTTCCCCGGTCTACACCCCATTAGTTTAAACAGATACCCCGTACCACCGGCGCTCGCGCATCTGCACATCTACATAATCGGCGCCGGAGCATGCACCAAATTAAACTCCGCCGGTGAAAACTGAACCGCGCCATATAACGGTATCCGTGGGTTAAACGGAATGGATCGCATTACGATTTGATTGTCATTATATTGCTCTTTTCATGGAGCGCTCGCGCCATTCGCGCTCTCGCATTTTCGCGCTCACGCATTCGCGCTAATTCGCGACGCATTTACGGGCAGGAATAAATGCGCGCTCGCGACTCTTCCGGAGCGTACGTTTAAAAAAGTACGTACCTTTAGCGTCATTAGTTCAGTTCAGTCATTACGCTGAGAGAGAAATAAATGGTTAATCTCATTAAAACTACGGGGTTATTTTTCGACGCCAACTATATCTTTTCGTTGTTCTAACAAGAAAATAGTAGCAACAATAACCACACGAGGATATAATATTATTATTAATATATCAGGGGGATTAGATAATAATTAGTTAATCAGATAAAAATTAAGTTAAAAAGTTGATAACTTTTAATTTAACTTTGTTAATTTCTTAAACAAGTCACCTTAATCTAGTTGTTTTAAAATGCATTCGGTTTAATTTATTAACTTTCTTGATATGTAAATTAAGATAAAATTTATTGATATTAAAATCATTGCAAATTGTTTATAATGTATAAGAAAAACAAAAAAATATTAGTAAATTTTTTCTTTGTCTCTTTAAGTGATAGTATCCTTTTTCTGTGAGAGAGGAATAATATTTAAGAAATAAAAAATATTTATTCAGAGTGGGTAGCCTTTTTCTATAATAGCATATTTACTAATACTAACAAAATTTTTTTTAAATAAAAAAATATATATTTTTTTAAAAACTTAACTGTTTATAAAAGCAATTGTTTATTTAAAAAAATAGTTTAAATTTAAGTAAGTTTCTCACTCTCTCTTTTCCTCTCTTATTAACATTCAGCTAATAATTTTTTTTACTTTTTAGATAATTTTTTTCCTATCAGTGTACGAAATATTGAGTACAAAACAATCGATATTTTCTAATAAATAACTAGATTTTTATTATGCCACACAAATTTAATCTATGATTGAAAAGTTAATTATATAAAAAAGATATATTGCTTGGCATATAACATTAATAAACTTAATAAAATTATAAAATTTTAACTTGTAACTTTAATAAGCTTATTCAATGTTAACTTAACTTTTAATCAGGTTATGTTTTGTTTATATAACTTTTAACCTAATTAAGTTAATTTTATAAATCATTAGCTTATAGCTTTAAACTTTAAACTTTTAGTTTAAAAAACATAAATTTATCCAATCCTGCACAGTAACACTTACCATAAAAATAATTTTTCTGATTATAATTCTTTCATTCTTCCTGTCTCATCATTCTTTGTGTGATTATAGTCACAAATATCACACTCTCCTTCGAGTGAAGATTCAGCGAGTAAAGATCGAGTAAAGATCGAAGTTCAAAATCGTTCACTTACGCTAAAGTCTAATTTGTTTGACTACTCTAATGTAATTTAAGTATTTATGTAATACATTACTCTAATGTAATGTATTTAAATATTGTTCATAAATATTAATTGAATTGTCACTTACTCGAATAGGTCTCGGTCGGCATTTGATCACTTGGCACAGTGAAATTTCCTGTCGCGTTTGGTGGGCAACCATTGCGATTTTGCTGTGTACGTGAAGTATGCGTTGCGTGCAAAGACGGTCCACGTGGCGGTATTTCCGGCGGCGCGGGTTCCGGAGGGGAATCCCTCCCAGTATCTGGGAACACAAGTTATATTCGTTTTTATTCGGTCGAACATGATTCCGTATTGTAAGGGTCGTTGTGAGAGGAACGCTGAAAGTTCAACAAGGAACATTGAAAATATATTAGAATATAAATTATATTCAAATTTCTATTTGCGTGATGAATAACAGTTGCACAAAATCAACGATTTCATCGGTTCATTATTTGAGAAATCGTTTCATTAGTGATCATAGAAAAGTAATGCGAGAATAATTTTCCCCAACAAAATCGATCGCACGATTTGGGCAGGTCACGCTGTTTCTCAAATAACCAATTTGATTAATTTGTCAAATCCAAACGATCCGGTGTGTATATTGTGGATTGACTGAATGTATCAATGTAATTTCATCCATTTTACTGCGGTATCATTCTCTCTTACGTGGCATTCGTGAAATTCTAGTCTGCACGCGCTAGAAATGCCGCGAGCAATTAAGCGACATGAATAATTAGGCAGCTACTAATTACATTTTACGCGTGCAAATTCAAAGAATCCGTCTGCAATTATATGACGAAATTGATTAAGACAAAGAGGCAAAGGCAAGGAGAGCGATGACGTATAAAGAAAAGCTGAAAAGTGAGAAAGTAGAGAAATAGATGCATAGATATTAGGAGGAGTATGAAAGAGGGAGAAGAGAAAAGGTTTGGAATAGAAAGAGAAAAAGAAGAGATTTTGTGAAACAAGAGAAATATCGATGATAGGAGTAAGAATGAGAAAAGAAAGAGGAGAAAGTATTAGATAGCAAGTGGAGGAAAGTAGAGAAGAGCAAGGACAAAAAAGATATGAAAGGACAAGAAATATCAAAACATAGCGCACAGTATAAAAAAATAAGAATAACAAAAAAAAAGAATGAAAATAAGAATAAAGGAATAGAAGAGGAACAGAATAATATTAAATTTAGATTAAGTAATGGAATAAAGAGGTAAAGGTATTGAGACAAAAAGAAAAAAGATATAAGATATATGATTGGGCAGAGGAAACATGTTTTAAAAAGATGTATGAACTGGGGAAAATATGATAGAAGACAGAATGTGAGAGGAATTTTGAATGAGAATGCAGATGGAGAAAAATGGTTGAGAGAGTTGAAAAGGATGAGAGGAGAGAATGAGAGAGAGAGGGAGAGAGAAAGAGAGAAAGAGAGAGAGAGAATCGTAAAACAATCAGAAGTTGATTTGTATCCCGAAAAGTGCAAATAAAGACTATCACTGTTACAAGCGAAGATATATGCAAGGAAATGCCGGAATTATGGCGGAGCACTAATTAAGGTATTAACATCGCCTTGCAAAGCCAGACTATAAATGCGTATTAGAAACTATGAGAACTGTATGATGCATAATACGTTTTGTAGACAAATAAGGTAAAAGTGCCAATGTCTGGACGCAGCCTAACTCTGGACATTCTTATTGTTTTAGTCTTTAAATACGAGTATTTATACTTTCAACATAAAATACATGCAAGATAAATCATCTCTAACATAAAATACATACAAGATAAATCATCTCTAATGTTAAATTTTAAAATATTTCTGTTGATTTTATATTGGAAGGAAAATGTATAAGGAATAAATTATGTTTGAAGGATTTATTAACATTTATTTCTTCCAAACACACAATTAATTCCAGACACATTGTTCTTTAATATAAAAAAAGCGACAAAAATATTTTAGAATCTACATAGAAAAAATATTAAATATATAGATTTTTTTCTATATAAATTTTTCTATTTTATTGCATTAAGAGAAAAAATATTTATTCAGTAAATATTAATAACATGTTTACTTAAATCTCTAATTTCTTTTATTTTAATAGAATAAACGATTATTCTAGCAAAAAGTTAAAGTTTTAAAGAAATGTAAATTTTTTTTATTTAAAATATATCTTTTCTCAAAAAGATATATACATGTAAGTACACCAGAATAAATGAATATGTTATTAGTATCTATAAAATAAGTATTTTTTATTTCTAAAATATTTTTTTCAATATATGTTTTTATTGTTTGGAGAAAAAATAGACTGTCAGCAAAATCTATCTTACTATGCAAGATATAGTAAATATATTAATAATATATTTTACACATATATATACACGCACGCACGCACGCACGCACATACATACACTCCACATATATTTTCTTAAATATATAAATAGAAAATAAATAAATAAATATGAAATTAAAGAGTAGTATATTATTGTAAAATATCGACCTATATTATTCGGTTATAAAATTCTATAATAATTTTTTATTGTAAAATTCTCTCCGTGAAACACGCGCGTGTTAAGTAACTCTCTCACGCTATATATGTATATTCTACGTTGAAAGTTTAAATACCCGTATTTATAAAAATCAAGTCAATAAGAATGCTCAGGTCTACGTATATATACTCAGGCATTAATGTTTTTCCCTTCAAGTTACTTTCAAGTTGTTTTACATATATGTATGTGTTAACGGTGTGAATGTTCTCCAAAAATATTAGCGCCTAAAGATGATGGACCTTGTATTTGAGATAACGAAATGTTAAGCTAATTACGACGAGCTTTAAAGACGGTACTAAAAATATTCCATTTCTATCGGTATCCGACCGTTGTCGGTCCTTCAGGGCACAATGTTGCGAGCGAGCGTTCTTCCGCGTTGTTAAGTTACTTATAAAGTTGCTCAAACTTGAAAGGAACTCCTAAAGAATAATTAAAGTTATCTAAATGTAAAGAGAGCACGAAAGAACATCTACTAGCTACGTCGGGAGCAACAAAAATATTTGAATCCCTCCGCGAAGAGATTCGTGTCTTACGTCAGAGCACGTGAAACGTGATGGCGGTGACGAAAGTAATAAAAGGCTCTTGATTAATATGTATCGGGCATGATTCTGGAAAATGACGATATGCTGTAGTCTCCGTTTTGTGAACTTTCAACGTTCCACGTTACTTAACGGTGACCAGTTAGAGAAGAATTAGCCGAAACAACCGACGGTGACGCAATAGACCGATACCATGTTGAACATACATACATAATTGGAGCAATGTATAACCATTAAAGGTTGTTAATGTTACAGAACACATTATTGTAAATCAAGTTTAACTGCAATACAGTGGTCTATCGCGCTTTCGTGAAGCTACATAACTTGGTTGCGGTAACTCGGATGTGGGATAATGGAATTTCGGTCCCTGGCCCTGCAGATTAAAATCTATTAAGCGCTAGTCGTTATAACTTATGTGTGTATGTTATAAATGTCAGGACAATTACTCACCGACCGTACAGCGAACGTTGTTAAATGTAACGTCTTACGGTCGTTGACGCTTCTTTGTATCAACAAACAGACGGCTAAGGGCCTATTCTCGATATAAGTGAATTGATAACTCTTGGTGCAAGAACAGTATGAAACATTAGATAAAATTCGCCGAAATATTCGTCGCTTTTCTATTAAATTTACTTTAAGTAGAAAGTTGCAAATTTGAGTATTAAAAAGGAATCAGGAAGACCTCGTTAGTCGTTTGAAAAGCTACCTAGTTGATGCCAGCAAATTTTGCTCATTAAAGTTATTAATACTTTATAATAGGATAATTTCGTCCTTCGTTTCACTTGACAAATAGTTTATACCAATCTGATATGTATACATAGAATACATAATCGCCACAAAATTAGGAAACTTTAAGGAAATGGTTTATCTCGTATTTATTAGTAACACGCTTATTGTATCACGCCGTGTTATAATATTTATAACAATGACAAATAAGATGTAAAATTTACAGAATATAAACGGCACAACATGCTATTAATGGCATAACATAACATTACACCTTCCTACGGATTGCCTACATACCTGTAAAGTAAATAGGCCTGAGCAGACCTGTGCGTCGGGGAATGTGCAAAGAGAAAAGTGCATTAGTGCAACGGGCTTGGCATATGCGTGTGTGAAAATCCCAACGAAGGATTGCATCATGCGGATGAAATGTGTGGGAAATGATGCGGATGACTATTTACATTACTGTACTGGCTTATAATAAGCAAATACGCGCGCATGAGACCCGTCGCGGGATGTTTTAAGAGGCTCGTACTCTTTAAATTTTCCTAAAGCATAGTTTATAATGAGAGTAAAATGTGGTTATAAAAATTAAGAGTAAAAAATTGATCAAACATAGTCAATTATTCTTCTTACATTCGACTGTGATTAGTCAATTTCTTATTTTTACTTCTTACAGCCAAACTTTACTCCCATTGTAGATGATTCTTAATACCTGTGGACGTCTGAAAAAATAAGCTGTATTCAGAAACTTTTTTCTGGAGAAATTCTATAACGTATCGAATCCTAACTTGCCACATTTATTATGTAAGCATAAATCAATATAAATCGGGTATATAAATCAGGAATATCAAGATATAACGATTGTTCTCAGATATATCGTACTCTCTAAATTTTTCGGAATGAAATTTTATTTAAAAAGTAGAGTGACACTGCGAGTGACTCTTAATTTATATAAAATAAATTTTTCACTCTGAATTGTCAAGTGAATATTTTCATTCGAAATTGAAGAATGAATCGGATAAATTGTTACAGAAACATATTCATTCATATGAATTTAGAATCTACACTAAATTTGAGTAAAACATTCACTCTTGCAATTTTAAGTGGCAGTATTTTTAGTATCACTTTGAGTGAAAATACTGTCACTTTTCATTTGTTTCGAGTGAGATTCTGTTTCAAGAACTTTGAAAAGTACGTACAACTTGATCGTACAACATAGTTTATTTCTAAACCATGTTTTCAACATTGATGTACAAGATTTCTCAAAGACTGTTGAACCAATTGATTTCATACTTTCCACATATCTTCAATACATATGTATCTAAGATGCATAACTCGGATTTTACGAGAAATTGAAAATTAACAGATTAGCATTAATGCAAAACTGCGTTTGATGCAAAGTTGCATTTTTCTCAACGAAACATATAATATTAGTTGCAAGGTATAGAGTTACAATTAATGGTGATTTACAACAGGTAATAATCACTTTAAGTTGTTGATTAACGATCTTCGTCGATAATTACACGTCTTATATGAATTACTTAACGCTGTTGGCAAAGCGGGCTCCAAATATAGCGTGCAAAGTGCTGTTCCGTGACTGATTGGATAAATTTACGCGGAAAACGATATCACAGGTGTATATCAGGACACGGATCGAACGAAATGACATCGAAGCTCCATGCATTGGTCACGAACGCGAAACTCGCGATAACGCGAAATCCATCACAATTCGTTTCCGTTTTCTGACCGATTAACGGCGCAACGATTCACACTCGCGGGTACTATTCGGACTTTCGGCAATTTTCGGCGTTATCACTTGGCCGGATTGCGAGGCAGAGGGAGGAGGGGAGGGGAGGCGTCGGAGGGACGGAGGTCTAATTAATCGCAGAGATTATGAACGCGGTAGGAATTATTTCTGTGTAGTCACGTGGCCGTAACGCCGATATTTTCCGTAATAAGCAGTAATAATCACTTAATTAAACTGGATCGTGAAACGCGCAATGCGTAGCTGTCAGCGCCAGCCGCGTTCGTCGCGTATCTTGGACAACTTTACCGTCGAAATATACATTCGTTTCAGTTATTGAACAATTTGCCGGCACCGTACGAGTGCTCGGAACACCTGTAACGTTCAATTACAAAGTCGATATCGCATCGACAACGAGCTGGAAAAATCTCGGCGTCGCGTTGCGCCGCGCTCTGCTAGCTACTACAGGGGTCCTCTCCACCCCTTTGAGCGTGTTTCTCTTTGCGAGACTTATGCGCTTTATAGCGGTGCGAGCCGCGGAATACATTTCGCTTTTCGCGATGGTTACACCGTACGCTACATACGTACGCGACACATGATGCAGTACCGTATTAAAGCCCGGCTAAGGTACATATTTGAGGAAGGTTCTTCTGAAATTGCGGGCCACACGTATAACACGCTAAATTGGTGCTGCGTACCGCCCGGTGAAAAAGTTAAAACCGGTTAAACTTAATCCCCCTTGCGCTGCCTCGCCGCAAAATCGCGGGATGTGAGTGAAATTGCCAGCGGATGTGTCGACGATCGATGACGGGCGCGACTCGTATCGTGTATATTCGACAAGTGTCTTCGATACAAGTTTCATTTATCGTGTTTCCGCGATAATCAGTTGACGATCCGAGGATGGCCGCCGGAAGAACAGGCGTCGCGTGGATTATCGTGAAAATTCTAACACGACTCGTCGCGCTGAATATGTAAATTTGTCAGCACAGCTAATTAAACGCAGCAAGGATACAAGATAACGCTACCCACGCGAAGGTTAGATCAATACGATGCTAGCCAATTATGGCTAATACTGGTACATCATTGACCGGTGGTCAGACCGCGTTACTACCTCTCGTAAAGCACAGCGTTTACATAACGCGCAAAATAAATCATGCAGTTTCTGGTGGCGATAACGCACTGCAATCTAATTCTGCGAAATGATGAACACGATATAACTCCATAATATAGATTTCACTATTTACATAACGCGGCTTATTTCCCACGGCCGAATTTGCATTTATCACGGTCGAAGCAAAATTCGTTCGGCCATTTGCAAATTTCACGAAAAACATTCTCTTGGCGAAACATGACATTTTCCTTGCTTTCGCGCACGGTATTCGTGGAGCTCAGGCGACTTGTCGATCCGCAGAGGCGGTAATTACTTCTGTTACGTGAAAATTGTACACGGGTGAAGCAGTTGAGCCACACATAAATCTGGTTGTGTCAACCAGACTCAATAGTGAATTAATTATGCGCTGGCTACAACCACAGAACAATTGCGGAATCACAGTAACGACATCTTGTTGCTCCAACCAGAGTTGGTCAACTATCCATAGTAAACGTCACTCCAATCGATTTCTGGCTGCCACAAACCAGAAATCGTGCGCAACTACATTGATGTACCAAAGTAATTGAGTCATATCAAGCATAGACATTATCATCACACAAAAATGACCAAAGTATATTGCAGCTATATTGCTCACAACTAAATACTCCTAGTTATGTACACCATATCGTTTTCTTTTCATATAGTAAATAAGTGTCAGGCGCATATGGTGCATTACTGTACACATACGTGTACACAATCCGATATAATAGCCCTAATTAACATGTTATAACCATAATTCCAAACGAACTTTCAAATTACACGCAATACATCTATATATTCATGCATCATAACTGTTGATTATTTCGAGGAAGCGATTTCGTACACACATGTGCACACGCAGTGCGATTAATCGAGAAATATGCTTTTGTAAAATGTCAAGGCTATTATCTTGGATTGCGTACATTCAGACGATTAAAACTTGCAACACTTTTTTTCTGTAGCGCATCTCGCATTCAATAAGATAGTTTAGTTTCTAACTGACTATCAAAAAGCCTTTCTTTTGTCTTATATGTATATCTGTTTGTATGTTCCTCCATAATTTGAGAACCGTTAAAGATATTGAGATGAAGCTTTTTGCAGTATTTTGTATATTTTTCAATATATTATTTACATAATTCTTAGATTGATGCCATTACCCAAGCTTATCTACATGATTTGAAAATTGGATAATTCCATTATTTTTTTGAAAATATCTCTCTCTCTCTCCCTCTCTCTCTCTCTCTCTGCGGGAACATGTAAAAATGCAAAACGAAATTTTTATTTTTAATCGATTTCCAATAAACAGTTTTTTGAATCAACTTTAAAAACAAACTTTTAGTAAATTATTAGAAAATACGAAATAAAAAACTTTTAATCAAAATAAATTGCTTTCCAAAATTTCAAAAAACCTAAAAATTATAAAATATAATCTCGATTCAATATTCCTATGTACCTATAATTCTATTTTCTAATATTCTAATAATAGGAGTCAACACGGTAAAAATAACTAACTATGCGACTATAGCAAGATAATAGAAAAAGTTATTATTATTGACTGATAAATAAAGTTTTCCCGCCAACTTCTAATATTATTAGAATATTAGGATAGGATTGTAGGTATATCGAGAGATATTGAGGGATATTGAAGGATATTGAGGGATTGAGGAATATTGAGTCAAAATTATTTTATGCTTGTTAGGACTTTTGAAATTTTCAAAGGTGATTAATTTTTGTTAAAAAAATTTGTAATAATTTTGAAGATACACACATATATATATATGGACAGATATATTTTACTATTGGGCATGGAATGTGTTGCAAGAATCATTGAGTAAAAGTGTTGCAATCCCTTTAATCATCTGACTGTACCACTGAAAATCGTAGTCGCTGAATGTCAAAGCATATATAGGATGCCTAATGATAGAAAAAGACATTCGTGTAATGTAGATTTAGTCAAACTAAATCAGAAGATTGGTGAATTACGCGTAATCATTCGCCAAACTCTTTTAATTAATAATTGAAAAATCCACGTGGTTATTTACAAAATGATAAACGGAAAGAAAATATTTCACTGCCTAATCATGAAGATATTTCACAGTTAATCATAATTTATTGAAATTCTATTTCCTGTTGAAACTAAAAATTTGCTGCTGCAACTAAAACTTTCATTACTGTTGTAATTACATCCACATTCTCTATAATTGGAGAGAAAATTTATGTGATTTCAAATTAAATAGATATTGCGTTAAAAGTTGCTGTTGTTATATGCTCATCTACACAATCCTTATAGTCCTTATAAGTATAATAAGAGATAAGTGTATCCCATAAGAGCATGACATTTTAGAGAGATCTTGAGAATTTGATAAACAGAAATATCCTTTGCTATCTAATATAGCACATATCTCAATTATGTTTGAAATTCGTCTCTCTACAGGCGACTTTCAGTGCCGC